GGCACTATCCAACATCACTCAACTCATGAGGTGTCAGTATGCAGCTATCCCCACTCAACGCGTCCATGTGTCTGGCAAACTCANGGTCAATCTCCAATACAGATCACCTGTGAGGTTTCAGTGTGTGTCTATCCTCACTCAACACGTCTATGTGTCCGGCACTATCCAACATCACTCAACTCATGAGGTGTCAGTATGCAGCTATCCCCACTCAACGCGTCCATGTGTCTGGCAAACTCAATAACCAATCCATCTGTGAGGTTTCAGTATGCAGCTATCCTCACTCAACACGTCTATGTGTCCGGCAATCTCCGTCACAAACCACCTGTGAGGTTTCAGTATGTGTCTATCCTCACTCAATGCGTCTATGTGTCCGGCACTCCCAACATTACTCAACCCGTGGGGTATCAGTATGCAGCTAACCCCACTCAACCCGTCCATGTGTCTGGCAATCTCAAATCTCACTCAACCCTTGAGGTTTCAGTATACAGCTATAATCACTCATCACGTCTATGTGTCCCGCAATCTCATACATTACTCAACCTGTGAGGTTTCCGTAAACAGCTATCCTCACTCCACTCGTCCATGCGTCACGCGTCTTTGGTAGCGCATACTATGTGGGCTATACTTGGGGTGGCGTGTTTTACAGCGCTTTGCCAACATCGCCAACCCACTCATGTCTAGTAGAGGGGTGTGTGTGTGGTAAAACAAACACTGCTGGCATGGCACACCTGCGGGGTCCCTCCCTGAGAGGGGTATTGCTGCGAACCTCCACCGCCTCCACCGCCGTATCGACCACCACCGTATCCCTGCAAAAGTGTGGGAAGAGGTCTCTCGTGTTGTTGTTGTTGTCGATGTTCCTCTTTACCGTTGCTTCAACAATGTAACCGTCGACACCCGTTCAAACCGCGACAGCAGCGAGCGGTTTGTCCATGCTTCAAAAATATAACCGTCGACACCCGTGAGAGCGGCGAGCAGGACATATCATACTTCGTGCCTTGAAGGGGGCAAACACAGACAAGAACGACACGAGCAGTCGGCGCGTGCTTCGAGACATCTTGAGCTTCGGCAACAGCGTATTCTTTCGATAAGGTTGGAGGTGCCGATCCCGCTGATTCCTCCGCCGGTAAATATCCTGGTGCTGTTTGGCAGTAACACCGATTTGATCATTACGATACATACCGATCCAAAATATGCAAATGCACGTATCCATGCATACTTTGGGCTGTTAATGAGAGCAGAGTGACCACGCACTTTCCGCGGCCGACTCAAAACGCGTCAGGGCTCTTCTCGGTTCCTGCAACTTACTGCCACGTTGCATTACACTTCGGTCCCGGGTTGATACGTAGAACGTGACAAAATCTTACGCTCTTCCGCGTTCCTAATTACGGAGTTGGTCCTGGGTGATTCTGAACGTAGAAATCGACAGAGCCTATGTTCTTCGACGGTCGTCATGAGCAACGCAGCGACAGCCACAAAAGCACCCCCTCCCTCCCCGTCCGACTTTCTCCTTTTCCGGGAAAGGTCTTCGATTTGATGAAGCCATCAGATCGTCAAAAACCCCGCAGGTTGCCACATGGACGTCCTCATCTACGTGGTCTCCATATCACTATTGAAACAAACAATAAGAGGGGCGGTGGGTGTTCCCACCTGCCCCGATTGCGCCCCGCCCATCGGCGGGCCATCAGTCCCCTTCAGCTTGTTCGTAATGCGGGACAGAAATCCACCGCCGTCACCCCCTGGCTGCTGCTGCTGCGGCGGCGGCGGCATGCCCCCAGGGGGGTATCTGCCACCGTAGCCCCCCTGCTGCTGTTCCGTACAGAAGGTGTTGTTGCAGTGGTAGCAAAAACAAACGGCGAGAGTCAGACATCTGAGAGCCACGCCATAACGTCGCAACTGTCATCAAAACAAAAAGTAGCATCCACCTGCATCCATCATGTGGAAGTGCGATAGCACCAGTACGGACACTCTGCCTACCGCAACGTTCTGCTGCTGCTATCTGGCTTCCACCTAGATCCAACAGGTTTTCATAAAAGACAAGACACTGGTGCCATCGCTCACAACAACTATCGAACAAGAATACTGAGCCAGCTCCAGAGAACACAACCCGAGGGGTACGAACAACACCAAACATGAAAAAACCCCACGACGCACCTGCTGCTGTTGCCCGCCGGGGTAGCCCCCACCCCCGTACCCCCCACCCCCACCCCCGGCGCCTCCTTGCCCCTGGGCCTGGCCGTACTGCTGGTTCTGGGAGGGAGGGCCGCCCCTGTACAGCTGCTGCTGTTGGCCCGGCGGTGGCCCTCCCCTACCATACAACGCTCCCGCTCCACCTGGCCCGGACGGGGGGGCTTGGGATGGGGGCGACAAGGGAGGGGCTTGCCCTTGGCCCTGGCCCCCAGGCCCCGCTGCTGATCGGTACTGCTGTTGTTGATATTGCTGCTGCTGCTGCTGCTGCTGCTGCTGTTGCTGCTGTTGGGGTGGATATCCTCCGCTGGGCTGTCGGGAGAAAGCATCGTTGTTCGGGGGGTGGGAGGTTGAATATGAAAACGAACGCAGCGCTGTTGTATGTCTACTTGTGTGTATCTTTGTGCAACAGCCCGTGCCAACGGGGTGTAGAGCGGTGGGACCAGGACAGTAAGTGCTCGCGCCGAAATGGACAGCAGACATTACGTATGAGCTGTGCGCTGGCGGCAACGCTCGATCGCATCTCACGACCCAACGGACAGGGGGCAGGGGGCAACGGGTGGCGAGGTACCTTTTTTGCGGGGGGGCGGACGTTGTCCCACGTGCAGCAGCCTGCTGGCATCGCAAAAGTGATGAATGCGAAGAAGGTTCAATATACAAGGTTACATGCATGCTGCTTACAGAGAAATACCCCGCACGGTCATTCTGTATTGCACTGGCGTCTCAGCAGCAGTGTTGCTCCTGTGCTGTTGCTGTTCGCTAAGAGAGGTCGATCATATCTGGCGATGCTCTTGAAATGCGGCTCATCGTTTCGCTGTGTACGCGTACTGCTGTAGATCACCCAATCGCCGGGACCCTACAATACATGCAACCTCTGGGAATACGAAACCTTGCCAGCGAAACATTGGAAATGAACCCACAGCGTGGGACAAGGCCGTGTTCTTTGCAAGCTACGGTGGAGGGAGCGGGAGAGAGGAGAATGCACAGCAACCCTCGCGCGCATCAAGGAACACGCAACGGCATTTCCGGTGGGCCGGCAGGGTGTATGACAGCAGTAGATCCAAACGTATGCCATGAAGGAGCCGGCAAAGTCGCACAACCGTTTTGCTCCAACAACGCACACAGAATTGCTCCAGGCTTGTGGAACACGCTTACCGGCTGTCCCTGCCGCTGAGGCATAGGGTTGGCGCCTCCCGTGCTCGCTCCAGGGTACCCCGGCGAAGAACCAGCCCCCTGCCCGAGGCATGCGGCAAACACAAGAGCTGCGGCAACCTTCCGGGAAGGCCCGCCGCGGCGCTTTCTCGGCGAGTGCATGTTTTCCGATGCTTTCTCCTTTCTCTCTGCGCTTGGAAACTGCAAAGCTATTGCGAGACGTGCAAGTCGATGCGAGGTCACTTCACGCAGCGATCTGGTGCCTTCCTTGCTAGGGTGACGCGTGGCTAGATGATGGTCGAGCGGCAAGCTCTAACAAAACGGTCCCCCCAAGGGGGGGATGTTGTATAGGCTGCGACCCCCCCGTAACATGTGCGTTTGCTCCCTGCTTCTCTTTCCTGCTCTATCATCTACCCTCGAAACCTTCAAATATCCACCCTCTGAACACAACACACGAACCGCTGCAAAGGTCGCGCTTCCATTAGGGACGCCCTCTTCTTCCTTCCGAGTCGTGTGAACAGCTCTTCATCGAAAGGAACAACGCTTTTTGGCTCGAGCTATCAGGCCAAGACCGACCGCAAACACCTGGTACTGCACATACTTCTGAGCAACGGCTCCGCACAAAAACAATGAAGGCGACCAAGACACCAGCAGTAGCCGCAACAGCAGTACTCGCCGCAGTACTCGGAAGCACACACCACTGCGCACAAGCTTTTCTGGTGAGCGCTCCCGTAAGGAGCGGCGGCAGCAGCAGCAGCAGCAGCACCTCCTTGCCGACTCGATCATCATGGACATCACAAGCGGCACTGGAGCAGCAGCAGCGGCGGCGCGAGGGCTTGACCGGGTTGTCGATGGTGTCGGCCACGTTCGGGGAGAAGATAAACACCGACCGCATCGTGATAGACAAGACGGCGAGGGAGGCGGTGCAGGAGCTGTACCCAGAGGCTTGCGCGAAGCACCCCAGGTTCCTTGGTGAGGGTTTGAGGTTTAGGGCAGGGATGATGCATGTTTCTGTTGGACAGCGACCAGCTTGCAGTTCAACTCGTGTTTCACGTGTTCACCCGTCCCTGCCCTACTGATATCGGCCGGTGGTGTCTGGGGCCATTCACTCACCCATCAATGGTCTCTTGTGGAGAGGACTGCAGATATGAGTTGAAGCTCGCGCGGTGGTGCTTTGCTCTTCACCCTTTATGGCACCCACCCAAATGCATCTTTTTCTGCTTCTTCTTGATGCGGAAGTGTACGCGAGATAGCACCCCCACACACAACGAGCGCAATGGTAGAAGAGCGACTACGGTTCTGCTTGTTTTTGGGTCAATCTGGTCGAGACACGTTTGAAATGCAGCTATTACGGTGGCACATAGTTAATAGGAGCAATTTAAAAGATATGCGTTTCGGAGTGTAACTTTCGCAATACGATGCGCAGCACAGCAGACGATAGCGCAAATTGACGACAGGGAAAAGGCGGTCACGATGAAAAAAAAATTAAAAAAAAATCAAATTGCTTGAGTTATGGCTTGTCGTCTACCTGAGCAGAGATTCAAAATCGGAAAAAATGCCCAGCAACATGCGGCCAACATTGGTATCTCCACTTCTCGGCCTGTAACTTAACATTTTTTAGCGCCTGTCGGCATACAGCAGTAGCGCAAAACGCTTCCATGACGAAGGCGGTCAATACGCAAGAAGATAGAACATGAATGCAGTTGACGTGTGGCAAGCTGCATCCGGGGTAAGACTTGTCGACAATTAAATATTATTGATTTTTTTCTTTCAACAATTGCAGCAGCTGGAAGCAGGGACGCAACCCCCCGCGCACAGCAATCACATATGTGTGCTGTTGGAATATGGTACACCCAGTGCATGGGTGTAGCAATTGATCACAAGGCTGAAAAAAATCTCATCATGGTTCAACCTCGTCGCTGCCATCACCCCATTCTGCGCTTTCCTGCTGGATCTGCTCCCCTACCCCTTCCTCGACATCACCCACGGGCGACACATCATCTGTATCGTACCCGTCCGGCTTTTCGAGGCTGCCTATCGTACCAGAAAGCACTCCATCACGGTCCTTGACCCACTTATTCATCTCTCCAATGGCGTGGTCAACCAGCTTCGAACAATCGGCTGCCTTCCACCCCCCCTCCTGGCCTGGCCATTCCTTGTCCCCGTACCAACCTTTACGAATCTGCACCCACACCTCCCGCATCTTTCGCTTCAACTCAAAGTTAAGGCTGACGTACTGCTTACCATGCTGCCAAAAAAGCTCGATCGGTTGAAAGGACGGCATGTAGGGCGGCGTCCAAATCAACGCCCACCCCTTTTTCCTCATGAACGTCACCACCCGTTCCTCGAGCCTTTCAGGGTGATTGAGGTGGATGTACTCCCGAGTGGCCGTTGCTACCTCCGCTCTGCTTACACCGCCCTCCCTGTTCCCTGCAGGGAATGAAGAACCAGGCTCTGTCGGTACCTCGAAGTTGTACTCAACAACGCCCTGTTCGCCCTCCTTACGCCTAACCCTGATCGACTTGGCCCCAAACATACGCAACAGATCGACGTTGTGCTTCTTGGTGTTGGTTTCCGGCACTTTGACTTCCGCGTCAAATCCATGGTGGTATGAGGCGTTGTCAAGAACAAGAATCATCCGTTTGCCTTTGAACTCCGGGATCGCGTTGTACGCAGGGCTAAGGCGGTGTTCAAGCCACTCCATGAACATCGAGTCGGTCATTGCTGCGTGGTAATCGCCCTTTGCCAACTTAGCCTGCCACAGAAACTCTGCTGTCTCCTCATCTTCCATTTCCTTCTTGCCGCTACCCGTTTCCTTGAACCAGCCCTCTTCGATCGGTAACCCATCACAAAGCTTAGCCAACGGCCCCCACTTCGTGATTGCATGCACCATGATCATGCGCAAGCCCTTCCCCGTTGTGCGACCAATCCCATCCTGCACAACTCCATCGTCGTCCGAAGGAAAGTAAGAATAGGGGGAACCATGAGCCTGGTGGACAAAACTCTCATCCATGTACACGATCACTGCTAACCCAGCATCCTCTGCCCTCTTTGCCATGTCCATCTCAACAAGAAACCGACGAATGCGAGCAAGTCTTTCGGCGTTTAACGGTGGCGTTTTGATCCTGCCTCTACGACGCTTGTAGCCGAGCCTACTCAGCAGCCCTCCTGCCGAACGGTTGGACGGCTGCTCCATGTTGCAAGTCCTGTGCATCCATTCTGCCACCGTGCGGCGAAAGACTTGACGACCGGCCTTGTGCTCGTCATTGATGAACTCGCGAAGTTGATCTTCTTGTACTTCGGTGAGGCGGCGTCGCCCATCATCCTTCTTTGCCGTCTTGCCTCTCCCCACGGCGGTGGTCTCGTACAACTGGCGGTGATCCCACCAGTGGTTGTTGATGCGTCTGACCTTGTCGTGGCCGATCTTGAAAGTGCGCGCAACCTGCCAGCATAGAGAGGTCCAGAGAAGAGAAAATATTGCAACATCGTTTATGAATAAGGTCAGTTCACTTGGACATTGCACAGAGAGACATCGCACATGCAAGCCTGCTCAGGTGCTGTAAAAAACTGCTGTAAAGAACTGCTGTACAACAGTACAATGTATTCCTGCTGAATATTTGTGTGACGTAGACAGGTGAGTCAACCGTGTAACGAACGGCAAAGGCTCGCGCCCGACATAAATGCAACGAAAACACACACACCACACATGAACATACTGCTGTTGGCAGCAAAAATAGGGTGTACAGCACATATTCCGGAGTATAGATTCAAAAACCAACCGTTACCCCTCTTTGATCAAGATGAATATTTAAAAAAGACATCGGCCTGCTGCTGTGCCACACCATCCGACCTTCACTGCTGTGTACTGACCTGCAACACCGCCTCGTTCTCAGAGCAACCTTCCTTGCGGAGGTCGAAGAGTAGCATGAGCACCATCCTTGACTGCAACTGGGTCCAGACCTCGCCCTTCTTCGGCTTCACCTCGTGCACAGATGTGTCCATGTAGTCCCAGCCCTGAGCAACCTTCTCCGCCGCAGCAGCAGCTGCTGCTTGGACGCGCTCAACCTCCTGCTGCTCACGCTTTTCCCGCTGTGCAGCGGCGCGCGCCAATTCTTGCTCCTTCGTGGCGAACGCAGCCTCCTTCGCTCTGAGCGCTTGCTCCCTCTGCGCCATCTCTGCTCTGTCCGCCGCGAGCGCTGCACGTTGCTGCTCGAGCTCAGCTTGGAGTCTCTCCTGGGCCAACGGACCTCTCGCTGCTGCTGTCTTGGCTCTCTTGTCCGACTTGGAAGGGCGTCCAACTTCACCACCAGTTGGCTGCCTCCTGCCCTTCGGCTTCTCCATCGGCCGATAGCTGAGAGGCCCCTCTTTGAGCGTGCAGTACTCGACAACGGCTGCGTTGTGTCCAACGCTGGTCTGATGTGCGCGTGCGCGAAATCATAGGGTTTCCAAAAAGTTTTACATGCATGGCTAATTCGCATCCGTTCTGTTTTTTTTTTCAGGCCCGCACAAAAAAGTAGTGAAAAAGTACCCTATATTCGCCGGCAACTGCTGTACCTTATGGTTGTCTGATGAGAGCAAGACCCGGCTCATTTGAAAGCTGTGGTTTTCGTGTTTCATTTGATGTGTGGTAGGTCTGCTAACCGTGCTGTAGATTTCGTATAAAGCCTCTGGGCAGTAGTGCTTGTTTCCAGCTGTCCAAGAATATTTTTTAACACTGCTTGAGAGAAAAAAATACTGTCGCCAAAAAAAGCAAAAAATTGCTCCCACTAACTATGTCCCACCGTAATATGGGTTCTGTCCGGCTTTGACACCCTTCAGTATTTTGACCCAATTGCCAAACGGGAACTCTGGGTGCTGCTGGCGGCAAAATGCTCGAGGGGCACTTGTCAGATCGACGCGTGGGCGTGCGCAGTTGTGATTTGGCATCACCGTTAACCGCCAAGGTTTGCCTGACAGTATTGTGTCCATTTGATGTCCTCCTCGACGAAAACTGTCCTTTCATTGCTGTTGGCACTCTGCAAGTGCCACCACGGAATGGACGATGCCAACTCAGCAACTCAGCACTTGCAGCGGACAAGTTGGGAATGTAATCTTTGACGTTGCCTTGCACCTGATGATGGAAGCCGGAGGAACGAAGGATCTCTCAATTGCCTGCTCATTCCGCCCACGGTTGCTTGTTTTTGTTTTCTGTTCTCTCTCTCCCTCTCCCTCTCTCTCTTTCTCTCCCTCTCCCTCTCTCTCTTTCTCTCTCTCTCCCTCCCTCTCTCTCTCTCTCCACTCTCCCTCTCTCTCTTCTCTCTCTTCGTAATCTTTGTGGTTAATTCTTGCAGATGAGATTGGACACGGCGAGACGAGGACATTCACCGAGGAGGAGCTTAGGAAGCGACTCGAGGTATGATATAGCAGTGGTATCTGTTTAGAATGGGACGGTCTGTCCGTCCGTTCGCGCATCTCTTCCCTTTTGTGTGCGGGGGGTGGTTCTGCTCTGCTCTGCCCTTGCGTCGAGAAGTCATTTTGTCGGGAGGAATCTTCAACAAGGCGCTAGCGAGTAAAAACGGTTTATTCTGGTGGCCATTGTTGCTGTAGAAATGAAGCATCTCGACGGCAGGGCTTCTGCTGCTGCTGCTGCTGCTGCTGCTGCTGCTGCTGCTGCTGCTGCTGCTGCTGCCCCCTCCATTCGTGTTGACGGCGTTAACTTCCGCAATTGTCTATCAGCCAATCAGCATCACTGCCGAGCACCCGAGTCTCCGAAGAGAAAACCAGGCGCCCGGGTTTTTCCAGTTCAATGCCCCGTGTGAACAATGCCGTAGCTGACGGCTGTACTCACTGAGCGTGGGTGTCATTAGTCTCAAGGTGGAACTGCCATCGTTGTCGATAGACACAAAAATGACGTCATCCTTGCTGGGACCCCGTGGACTTCGAAGCGTTTTCTGTGTCTTGTCCCGCCGTCATGAGGCCGACGCTGGAATTTTCACGGTCACACACGCGCGCGCGCGCACGCTCGGGTTCACGCACGCAACTCTCTCTCTCTCACCCGGTGACACGCAAAGGTGGCCCACGTGTTCGTAAGCCTTGCCAACCTGGTGCTGCTGTCCCGCGGCAAGAACGTCCTCGCAGAGGACTTCAAATACTACTCCCCCGGCACGGGCCGCCTTGACCGCGACAGGTAGATGTGTGTGTGTGTGTGTGTGTGTGTTTGTGTGTGTTCTCTTAGTTTTTGCGTCGACGGTGCTAACTGGCTGAACAATGACAAGACGTCAGTCTTGTAGCGGGACAGAAGGCCACGTGTGTGTGCGAGTGCGTGTCTTGTTACAATCGTGGGTTTCCACTTTCCCCTTGTGCCTTGTTTTCCCAGGTGACGCGTCTCTGTAGTGGTTTTTGAGGTAGGCTTCGAGACCCCAAGACACCGAAACAGCGTCAATAAAACTCGACTGTTTCTGATACCAATCTCTCTCCCCCCCCCCCCCC